AAACTGACTCAATTTCCCCGAAATGCTCTGCATAACAAGCGATTTATATAGCAGTATGTAACTGATGTCAGCTGGGACTGTATACCTTGTACATGTACTTATAGTAAATAAAGATATTATTATTATTATTATTATTGATATCACTCACCGGGAACGTGATCTGTTAAGTAGGAAAGCAAGCCGCACGGAAAGTAATCGACACTCTTCAAGCAACACATTCAGGACTTAAGAAATCGTAATGACACGATTGCAAATAAACCATACCCCCGGCCGGGATTGAACCCGCGGTCATAGAGTCTCAAAACTCCAGCCCGTCGCGTTAGCCACTAGACCAGCTAGCCACAATACCTAGTTGGATGAATCTTATTGTGGCTAGCTGGTCTAGTGGCTAACGCGACGGGCTGGAGTTTTGAGTCTCTATGACCGCGGGTTCAATCCCGGCCGGGGGTATGGTTTAACACATTCAGTATCTGACAGTGGAGCTGTCATGGTCTTAGGAACAAACAGATGCAACTTTCGTTCCTATTAAGGCTTTATCAACCATGGTTATCTGACTACAGCAGGGATGCCCATATGCGACCTGCGGGCCGCATGTAGCCCTTCTAGGAAATGAATGCGGCCATCACATGAAATTATGATTTCACTTTTATGCAGGTTCCACAGTGCACAGTGTCAACAAAACCGTGCGGCCGTCATCACATTTGACCATCAATATGACTTGTGTAGGGAAGTTGAGGAGCACAGGTCTACAGAAAACACTTCTTACCAATACAGTGGAAAACTGTGTTGCTCTTGGAAACTATCACTCGTATAGAAGAGATTAGGGAGGCGTTGTGTCGCCATTTATATGTTCATAATACTTTACCTTCATGTGAAGTGACATTGAATTCAACTCATAGTTTTGGCGCTTGTATAGTTAAATTCAACGACGCGTACCTGGTTGTTTGTTCAGTTTACTGTTATCATTCCGAGCCCCATGATGATGATGCGTGTAACTCTCTTATTACTCAACTACCCATCGTCAGTATACTGTCAGTGATTTCAGTGCCCATCATCATCATCAGTGGGGCTGTCTTAGGACAGATTACAGAGGAAAACAAATATCAGTTTTACTAATAATAATAATATCTTTGTTTCTACAAGTACATGTACAAGGTATACAGTCCATAGCTGACATTGATGACATACTACTATACAGACAGCCCCTTGTTATGCAGAGCATTTCGGGCAAATTAGGTCAGGTTTGTCCCTGGATGCGACTAACACCCAGGTACCCATTCTACTGGTGGGTGAACAGGAATAGCAGGTGTCTTAGGTTTTCCAGCCGTACCGGGATGTCGATCCCCGGACCTCAGTGTGTGAGATGAGTGCGCTAGTGATCGAGTTAGTGGTACTCATGTAGATGATCGAGTTGTATTTCTGCAATAGAGTTATCCTAGTCTTCTTTGGATATTTCACCTTTTCTGTCTTGGGGGGTTTATGACGACTCTCTGGAATCTGACCATTTTCCAAATTGCATTTATTATACATACGACACTTCTCTTTCTCTTTCGGTTCACCGATTTAAATTCAAGAAAGAAGATTGTAGGTTAATGTCCAGGCTGGCCACACCTGATATATCCGGGAGTGACATTGACTCAAAAGATCAAAATGTCACTTTATCAATTCTTAGGACTGCTGAGTTAGCTATTCCTAAGACCTCGGTCGTTCCACACAAGCATATTGTGTCCTGGTGGACACCAGAGTATCGCAAGATACTCAGCCATTGTAATGAACTTAACAGGATTTTTGGCAAAGAGCCCACCACCCATCATTTTATTGATTATAAATTTGCCCGGGCTCAGGCAAAATGTACTGTCCGTCAAGCTAAACGAGATTGCTAATGAGGCTGTTTCCACCCTCACTAAAGAAATTCATTACCCAGGTCTGAACTATCTATCGCATAACCAGTTAAAAATCCAGGTCAAACCTCAATAAGTTGTTTGCATTATACAACGAGATTTGGACTTCTTGCTCCCCTCAAGGAAGGTTCCTTGATGTTGGCGAGGGTCTCTTGATTATAATAATAATAGACGTCTTGCTTGGTTCCAAGCTCGTGGAACTTTGCACATGTCGTGCCACTCCCCAAAATGTCCAGGAGAATAACGAACCTCTCTTTTCCTCCCTATTGTTTTGCAGAGTCAAGAAAGCTGTTAAATGATCGACAATGTGCTTTGCACTTTCCCAGAGACGCACTAGATCCTTTAATGATATTCTTCAGGCCTTCAGCTTCAAACACTTTGTTACTGCTGCATTTTTTAGGCACTGAAAAAGTTTACGACATGACATGGCGACGGGAAAATACTGGCCAAACTTTGTTAATAACTTCTTGACGTACAGAACTTTCACAGTCCTCCGGTCACATAACGAAATTACATATATATTTACCCAAAAGAACAGGGTACCACAGGGCTGTGTGATAAATGATTAAAAAACAAACAAACGATAAGTTGAAGATTGAGACACTTATGCAACATATGGGATTTTTTTAACCATTTATCACATCTGTCAGACGCTGCAACATCATGGGATCTTGATACAAAGAATTCTTCAACCTTATCCAACCCATGGATGAAGACCTACTTAGACTAGTGGATGGTCCCACTATGACCCTGCCTCCTCCTGCTTCGCCTCACCTGACTACAGTATATAAGCCACTACAGTATATAAGCCACGTCTCCTTACACCCTTCTGATTTGTATTGGACTGATGAAGCCACTGTGTGGCGAAACGTTTCCTCAATAAAGATTCCCATATGTTGCATAAGTGTCTCAATCTTCTACCACAGGGCTGTTCTCAGCTCAGCTTTTCTGTCTTGATCAATTACATTCTGTCTCCAGCTTCCTTCCCATGAAACTTTAAATCCTCACTGTAAGCTGGTGAATGTGTCTTGTGGCATATGGCATTTATCTCCCAATGCACAATTTTCGGCGCTGCGGGTTCAGCTTGTCCTCGAATTCGCTCTACGTTGGGCGATCAGTGGAATTTATACACTCTACTGACCCAGTCTTAATTAATTTATCCCCTGGTGACATTGTGATACCGGTGCAGCCTTTAGCTGGGTTCCTGGGCCTACACTTCGAAACACAAGCTCAATTGGAAGAGACGTTGATATCCTTGTTACATGCTGCCGTCTTCTTACGAAACTTCTATGATACTTTACCAGAACAAAGCATCCAGTATCGTCCTTCGCAAGGTTCACAAGCTGGTGAATGAAAACATAACGCCTTGAAAGCTACCCAAGTACAAAATCATCGCGCCGTGATTCCCATCTAAAATAAAAATATGCGCCGAAGGAAGAGGTCCATCAGCTCTTCTGCAAAATACTAGTCAAATACCTCACCACCATCTCTACACCGACGGCCTCAAGACGAGTGAAAGTGTGAGTATTAGTGTATGGTCGAGGGAATATTCCTTCAGGTTTCGTTTTCCGGATCATACATCAGTCTTTACTGCTGAACTCTTTGTTATTGATCGAACTATAGATTATATAGTTCAAAACAGAGCAGTCTTACATTTTCCGATACCATGTCTGCGTTGTTGCTATACAGATTGGAGTCACCGTCTGTCATGAGTTACTTGGCAATAATATCACCCTGATCTGGGTACCTGGGCACCTTAATATCTTTGACAATGATCAAGCCAACATGCTTGCGAAGTTAACCTCGGAGCTCTTGGGGTTTTCTTGGGTCTCACGGGACCCTGGGTCACTGCTCTCTTTGGGGGAAGAAATCACTCAACCTTCTGTGGCAAAGTTAGTGGACCAGCTTGGCTATACCATACAAGTTCAAGTCCTTTAATGCAGACTAAACCACCTCCTATAGAACCAACCACGGTGAAGAAGTCGTCTCCGGTCTCTGACTCAGTTGCGCTCACCTTTAGCCCAGTCTGGAAGGTGAATATTCCCCAGTGTTCCTGCAGCAGTTTCCTTACTATTCCCTACATCCTGTCCTCTCTACATCCTTTTTTGCCTCTGAGCAGAAACACTTCCCGTTCACAGCTGACTCCTTCCTCCATGACGAATATCCATCTGTTGTCAACTCTTTGCTTCACTTCCTCAAAGAGACAAATTTGATGAGGGTGATGTAGTTTATGTTCTCGTGCCTGTATATATTCGTCTGATATGTAGACAAAGTCTTTCCTTGTCCTGTCTCATGACTCGGTCTCTTCCTGCTGCCACACCCCATAGATGCGAGCTTGACTTCTGCCTTCTCTTCTCTTATAATTTTACCTTTAACGTATGCTGCCTTGTTGAGTAATTTATTTTGACAAGGACAGCATATAACATAAGTTTTACAATATTCATCTTTCACACTGACGATCCACCTTTCACACTACATTTCTGCGATCATGTTCTTAACAGGTAGGTAGTCTTAGGTTTGTTCTTCCTGGCCTCTTCCTTTGCTGATAGGTGACCTTGTGTTCACTGAATAGGGCGCCCCTGGCCTAACGACCTTCTTATAGGTCGATGACCGTTAACCCCAACATGGAATGAAGTGTTAGTGGCCCTAAAGACATGGAGAAAAAAATCGCAGAAGCTCTCTATGACTTTTTTTTTTTTAAGCCTGCGAGTTTTATGCTCTTAATTATATGGTAATTTAATGTTTTATTTTCAACTTTCAAAACTTTTTAAATGTTTCTTAAAAGTATATTTTTCTTAATATCTACATTTGTAATTCTGAATGTTTTTTTTCTTTTGTAGAACTGAAGATGAGAATAGGAATTTCAAAGCAAACCGAAATAACAACCTTTAACTTCACACCATAGCTAACTCATAATTTTTTCACCAAACCTTGTTAAATTTTTAAACTGCAAGAATTCCGAATTTATCAAACCTATTTAACAATGTTGTTAGATTTTATTCTTAGGAAAGGGAGTGACGTGAGTCTTCAGGTCATCAACGTAAACTTATCGTGAACCTCAACAATTTTAACAGAGTAAAATACATAATATTCACTTACGAAATATGTAACAAATTTGCTATTATCATCAAAACATTTTTGTCTGGAGAAGTCTATATGAGTCTGCAGCATCACAATGATGAACATTATCACTATGGAGAAGAAGAGCCAGACATCAACCAACTTAAAGTACGACGTCTTGGGCAACGAATTAGATGTCTGCAATAACAAAATATATGCAGTTAATAACATAAAAAGATGTAAACCAATCATTTATGCAGTATTATATACTTGTGGGCGTTAATGGTTTATGTACATAAATATTAAGAGGAAAAATGAAATGCTAAGAGTCAGGGCCACACTAGAAGGGACAGTTGGCCCTGACGTTGAAGCTCAGTGGGGGACCTCGTATTATCATCGTCAATGATAATGATAATGCTACGTACAAGTTCCAAACTGTACCAACTCTTTTCCAACCAGATTATTATTCCTAAACCATATTTAAACCACTCTTAAGCCACTTCTAAGCCACTCTGATAAAAAACTTCTGGAGCCATCTTTGTCTCAAAGACCATGAAGACTCACATTCATCACACTATAGATATCATGCTATAGATAGCTCATACAGTCAAAGTTTTCAGGGATAATGAGTAATACGTAACAATCTCACTAAATAGTAATAACACGATTGTGAACAAATCAGGGAACGGGTGGGGTTCGAACCCATGGCGAGTGAGTCCTAAAACTCACAGGCCAGTGTGTAATCCACTGTATATTGCTACTCATTACAGGAAGGTTAGCATGGGCCACCAATGTGATCACAAATGCAGTATTTTACAGATGAATCTCACACCAGCGTGGCTGTGGTCTGCGAGGCTGAGGACTCGTTTACAATGGTTTCGAGCCCCACCCGTTCTGTGATTGATTTGGAGTAGTGTTATTACAGTTTCGTGAGTCATGATGGCGGCTTTGAGGGGAGTCGAGGTAGAGCACGCCACAACCATGCTAGTGCGAGATTCGTCTGTAAGAAACTTACATTTGTGGTCACAGTGGGATCAATGTTGTTCTCCCTATTGGGAAAAGAAAAATACCTAGATGGACACATCCTGTTAAGCTAGTATATCCCAATGGTTAACACACTGGCCTGTGAGTTTTAGGACTAGCCTGCCGTAGGTTCGATCTTCACCCGTTCTGTGATTTCAATGCAGTAGTGCCTGAGGGACACCATACAGTGAGAAATGAAAGAAGACTTAGAAGAGGTGAAGTGTTACTTATGATTAGGAACTAGTGGGATTTTGAGAAACTGGAAAAAAAATATAGGTAATTCTTAGGGCAATTTAATAGGAAATGTAAAAACTGGAGGACCCAAGATAATAATAACAGAACTAAATAACCCTTTTCCCTTCCTCCCATTGAATAACAGAAGCAAGACAGGAATATGAGGATAACCAAACCACAACGGACCTCTAGGATATGGTGGCAAAGAAAGCAAAGGCCTATGAAAAATATTCACTGCAGGACATTTCAAGCAAAGCGTGATAGACTAGGAAAACTGTCACCCACATGCAGGACTGGAAACATGGAGAGTGTGACTGATGGATACTGCAGTGGAGAAATTTCAGACACACCACATGAACAAATAAGGATATAAACAGTAATGAGGCATTACTACTTGGTCAGGGCTTTAACCTAAGCAGATCAGACAGGAAAACTGAACTACGGAGAGTCACTCAGATCCAGTGAAAATGTTGTCTTAAGCTTTGAATATCTGGTAGATATGAATATAGGAAAACCAGACTACAGGAGAAGAGACTCTGAGGACAAGAGATGTTCTAGATCGAATGCAGTAGAAAAGAAAAATAGTAAGCTTATTCAGGTACGGGGACACATATACTTAAATAAATTATCATACGTAGCAGCATATGTATAGATACCTATGATAACTCAGAAAATTCAGACAAAGTGACTTGATTCCACTAGGGTCCTTGTAATATCTTCTTATTTAAACCTTCAGTGTTAATTAAAACAGCTAAATGACTAAACTTTGTGAAAAACAGTTACAAGGAGATATTCTAGAAATTAGGTAAACTGAGTTATTTACAGTAACATTAAAGAGAGGATCAGATCACATAAACAGGTACGTGAATGTTACAGTAATAGGTATATGCATTTTAACTATACAAGAAATCACTCCCCTCCCTGTCTGTAAATTTATTATTAGCTATCTCTTAGCTCTCTTCCTGAGCTGGTTCATGCTATGACGGGCTTTGACATATGCAGGTAGTCCGTTCCACTCCTTTATTGCTGTACAGTGAAAGGTGTTTGAAGCCTGACCGCTTACTGTGGGTACTACGAAGTAGTGCTCCCTTCCCCTAGTACTATGCTCGTTGTGGTTCCCAGCGTTGACAAACTTGGCAGAAAGATATTCTGGACTTAACTTGTGAGCAATTATATAAACGTGATTTAACTTCAGTTGCATATCCAGTTATCGAAACTCATCCTGGCCTACATTTTCTCTTGGACCCAGGTCCAGGATGAATCTCGCCATTTTGTTCTGGGTGATTTGTAGTACTTCCAGTAGTCCTTTACATGAGCTAGTCCAAAATCACCTAGTGAGCCTAATCCGGATCTGCCCGGATTCATCTAACGACCGGATTCAAATGGATTAGTTGATAACAAGGTATCCTCTGACTGGTTTCACTAACTGACGGGGTTCTTCGCGCCCTATCAAACACTCAAACAGTAACTACAACAAATAGTTACAATACAGATAGACAGATCTACTGTTAAGATGATTATTAGGAAAAAGATATACAGTGATCCACTAACTTGATTCTTCCAGTTTCGCTGGATTCGGGAGGATTTAAATGGATTTCGCTGGATTCGGGAGGATTCAAATGAATTTATGTTTTTGTTGTAGCTGATGTTAGACCTCAGTCACGCAGAGAAGATTATTACAATTTAACACTGCATGCAGTAGGCCTACTGCCTACACAGTCATTTATCTATTTTTTTTTTTACCTCCTATGCATTTTGCTTAAGTGGTGCTGTCTTCAAGCTGAGCTGTAATGTATATTACACAAAAGAGGTCAGCATCGCATGTCATTATGCCGTTGTGTGCAATTGTACTTAGTTGACCACCATTATGACAGAAGTAAGGGAAATGCGGGTGTGTGTGTGTGTGTACTCACCTAATTGTAGTTGCAGGGGTCGAGACTCAGCTCCTGGCCCCATGTGTGTTTGTGTGTGTGTGTGTGTGTGTGTGTGTGTGTGTGTGTAGGCGTGTGTGCTCACCTAGTTGTCTTTGAGTTTTGCCTTCAAAGAAATAGACCAATTTTTAGAAACTATTCCTGATCAAAGACATTTGTATTCCAAAAGGAAACTGGAAAAGTATCTTTACCAGGTGCTAGATCAGCCAGGCTGTGATAAATATGTGGGCCAGCGGGCCACCAGCAGAAAAACCGGGATGACCGGGAAAGAAACCTGACAAGCCTGGCCTCTGGGAGTAAAAAAGCTATGGGAACCCATCAAGGGTAAAGGATATAAAAGGGTTTATGTACAGTTTCAGGATATTTTTTAAAAGGGGGGGGGGGAAAAATGCCCCCACAAAGTGACTTCTTGGCTAAACGCTTCTAATAAAATGTCTCAAACCCGGGCACAAGTGTCAAAACCCCCACATCTTGTGGGAAATAAACCACACCCTGTAATGATGTGGTAAATAACCGACAAAAATGAAAAATTTAAAAGGGACACATGTACAGCAATGCCCCTTTTTGGTTGTGGGGGGGTTTTTCGCTCTCCGAAGCTTTGTGGGCTGTAACGGTTTTAACGGGGTTTCCCGGGAGGTCGAAACTTTGCCATAATAAGGTGTCGCTTTAGTCCCACATGTGTCCTTTTACCCTAACACATCACCCGTATTTTTTATTTCCCCTTTCCTGCCTTTTCTGGGGCTAAACTGTGGTGGAGCAAAAGACCCCTGAACTGGACCATTTTGACATCGAAAAAAATTTTCCCCGGGGTTGTTTAGCTCCGGGTTTTCCCCCCCAATTAAAAGCATCTATCCACTAGTATTTGGTGCAGCTTTTAAAAGGGGTTTTCCTTGAATACAACTCAAAACCCCATTCGTGTACCTGCCCCAACCGATGGGTTGGACGGGTTAAAATGAATGGGGGGATTTTTAAACCTCCCCTAGCATGGGCAGGTAGGCCTGGCTCAAATGTTTTCCTTCTTTCATATGTTGTCATGTACGTTTTTTGGAGCCCGTCATGTTCCCCATTCTTAAACGCCTTTCCCTTAATTTTAAAAACGACCCGACGTACCACTCCGAAGTTATTTGGTTAGATTTCGCAAATTTTTTTTCCACATTTTTTTTCACTTGCGGGAAGTTGAACTTCCGAAGCTTTTTTTCTGATCATTTTTGCAAGGGTTTTAAAGTTTTTTTACAGTTGCGACAGCCCACGTTATTTTTTCCCCCTTGGGGTAGGGATGACCAACTTAGTTTTCGACTGGGCCCCCATACTTTATCTGGGATCTGGCCGAGTGTCGATGGCAGAAATGTGTAGGTTCGAATCCCGCGTGGACTGAAATAATGTTTTTAAATTTTTAATAATAAAATTAATTTTAAAATTCACATTTTCCTTTAGTATTTTAGATCCTTCACTAATTTTTCTAAACTTTTTTTAGAGCTTGCCCTTTTAGAAATTTTTTTGTGGCCCCCTTTTCTCTTAGCTCTCTCCAGGTTTCTGCCGTGAGGAAATTAGCAGTTTTTTATTCCCCGAAAACCTTTTTCTGAAAAATTAAAACTTGCCTCCGGGTTTTTTGGGGGGTGGGTTGGGTTTGGGGGGTGGGGGAGAAAGTAAAGGGACTTTGTAGGAACAGTTTGGGGGGGTTGGCTGGCCCCAAAAAAGGGAAACTAAAAACCCCCCTCTTGCTCTGGGCCCTATCGCACCTCAGGCTAGGCTTACACTTCTTGTCTTCATCTTTTGTAAAGATTTTCTTGAAACTCGCAGTGCCCCGGATTATGCGCAAAAGTTTTCCCTTTAAAACACTGCGTATACTTCTTTAAAAGGGTTTTTGCAACGCGGGGAAAATAGCAAAAAGCCCTTTGTAAAAGTTAACATAATATTTTTTCAAAAATTAACCTGCCAAAGAAACTTGAAACCCAACCCCCGGGCCGGGGGGTAGGGGACAAACCAAGAGTCCCGCTTATTTTGTTGGAT